TCTTATTCCATTGTTTTGCATTATAATATCACAAATAATGTAAAAATTAAAGTTTAATGTATTTTGTATATTAATAACTATGATTTGAAAGGTTTTGAAAAGTTAATTTAGTGAATGAATTAGATTCATTTTATAAATATGTAAGCAATCCTTAGATCTTTCAGTTATTTAAATTTTATGTTATAATGTACTGTTAAACTTATAAAAATTTTTTGCAGACCTCGTATTAGGTAGGCTCTGTGAAATTTTTTTTCTAAGGTTTTTTTTTTTTTTTTGTTGTTGAATGATTTTTCAACTATTTGAAAATTTCTAATTCATTAATTTACTAAGAAATTCATATCTTTATTTCATATTTTATGCATTTAATGAATTATTTACAATTTATCATCATGCTATTTCTTTGTCATGTTATTATTGTTCTAAGCGTGAAATTCTAAAGTAAGGTTTTATAAAAATAATGTGAATTTTCCCCCCTCTAAGCTTCAGAATTTCATTATAGAGCTTTTCTGGTTTAATTTCTTCTCTAATTTTTAAAAGAGAACTCGGCATTTTTAAAACTGTTCCAGTCTTCTAAAATTTAGCTGTGAACTTTTTTCTTTTTGATTGTGTCATTCATCTAGTTCTTTCGATATTCATTCTACTCGAAATATTTTCTGACTAAGACTTTTAGAAATAGCTTTTCTTCTTTTCTTTCGGGGAGGGGGCTCCAAAATATCTTTCTGTCTGTAAAAGTAATCTAAAGCGGTGCTTATGTATTATCACAACTACCTTAGTAAAAATCGCCAAGTTTCCACAAGTCGCCAAACTCCGGCAACCATACGCATAACAGTACTCGATCCGGGTAATAGAGTGGATATACACTGATGAGCCAAAACATTATGACTATCCCCACATTTTCAATAAACTCCTCTGCATGACGTGGAGGTCACGTGACTACGTTTGAATGGTATTTAACTTCTGCTGGAGAAGGTAAGGAATCAGCGAGATAATATGAGAGAGATTCTGAGTTATAAAATGAGAATAGAAATTCCTGCTTTCTAAAGCTCTCCCGTCTTATTACAGTTTGCTGATTGCCATTAATTGCTTATCACTTATCATTTTCTCTGGCTTTTTTGTGTTGGAGTTTATTAACTCACATAGTTACCCTCTAGACTTCTGCTGTCAGGCGGTTGTTAAGGGCCTTGTGAGTTTCCGTCTGCCCATCCGTCTGTCGGTAAACCGCCTTGTGGGGCGATTCTGGGGCGCAGGCTTTCCTCCACTGGTTACTGGATTTGCAAAGGCTCCTTTTGTTAGGTTTTTGATCGGATTTAGAACTGGATTTAGGATTTGAATATGGACACAATTAGACTTACGGATTCTATCATTGATGGACTCACAATTAAGCTGAATATTAACGCCATTACCATGAAAGAAAAAGGGGAACTCGATTTTCTACAATGCTTACAATATGACACAAAATATTGCTGACACTACGCTAGATAATTCTCGAAATGATACAAACGAAAACCCTCAGGATGTAGAATGGAAAACAGTCACAAATAAAAGAATGAAAGGCGCTCCTAGTAAATCGAACACATATTCAACCAAAGAAATTCCACTCGATCAGGACACAGACGGTTCAGAAGCAGATGTTGAATATAACAAAATTAAAGGTGACCGCACAGTAGCTAAACGTAAACAAAGCCACCTTAAGTAAATTTACGTGCTACAAAGCTTTAAGAATCAACCGTACGTCCCACTAATACTGAAAATGTTCAGGAAGAAATGGACACTCATTTTCAGGAAACAGAGAATCCTAACCACTGTTACTGCTGAAAATTTAGTCGCTTCTAACGCGGATACTAAAATGATAGAAGGGAACGTGTTCCAACTGCCATATACATCAATGACTCGATATTCCTGGGCTAAATTAAAAACACTGTTTGCTGATTTTAATCTTTCTGATAACCAGGACTATACAGGCTTTGCTCAGAAAAAGGGCTTTAAAATTAATGTCTCGAATGCTTCTATTCATCGCAAAATAACACAGATCTTAAATGATAAGGACAAAAAGTATCATTCCTTTATCCTTTCAGAGGATAAAAATTTGAAAGTTGTTATAAGACATCTTACAATGGATACGGATCCAGAAAAAATTAAAACTGATATAATAAAAAGAAATTGCAAAATTATAAACGTGTCACAGATGTATCGCAGATTCAAAGCTGAAACGAAAAAATACCCGCTTTTTCTTGTCTCACTCCCCAAAAATGCAACTTCTGCTAATATCTACTACGAGAAGAAAATACTTGGCCTGCACATGAAAGCTGAACATTGCAAAGGACGCACTGGACTAATCCAGTGCTTCCATTGTCAAAATTTCCACCACTCACAGAGCGCTTGCAATAACGACTATCTCTGTGTTAAATTCGATCAGAATCATGATTCTAGAACTTGTCAAAAAGATAAAGTGAGCTTGCTCCGCAAACTGTGGTCAAAATTACACAGCTTCAATCAAGAGTTGTGAAAAATACTCTAAACAGATTAAAAAGGATCAACCCAAATTATATGGAGATAGATTTATTGTAAATAAATCTCATGCCGACTCATTAGAAACAGTTAACGGCCTGAACCATGGCTAAAAACCACGGCTGTTAACGGCTAAAAAGTACTTGAAGATTTAACTACTTTAGTCAACTTTATTAAATACTTTGGCATCCACTACTTAGCTCAAATAATCAGAGCAAAAGACACCCAAAGCATCAGATGAAAACATAACTGTCGAGCATGTTCAATAGTTCTTCAAGACTTAGCAAAGTTAATTTTTGGAATGCTGCGAGCATTCGTAATAAAATGGAGGAATATACCAACTTTTTGTTTGAATATAATATTGACATCAGCTTGGTTACAGAGACATTCGCCACACCAGCTGATAGACTCAGTGTTAACAATTATCGCTGTGATAGACTACGCTGCAGGAGAGGTGGAGTCGTCATTCACGTGAAGAATACTTTGCAATCATGCCTCATCTCAGAATGCAGAAATGATGGTTTTGAAAGTGTTGTTGTTTCTGTGATTATTTCTGACTATGATAATGTGAATTTCTGTGCTTTGTATAATCCACCTAATAATAGACTCAATACTGCCATGCTTAACAATCTCCTTAGTGATAATGAGCTAGTGATCATCGCAGGCGATCTAAACGCCAAGCATATGGACTGGGGATGTAGGCGTACTAAAGCAAATGGATTAATACTGCATAATTATATTGCTAACTATCCAGTTGTTCTTCATGTCCCCATGAAAAGCTCGCACTGTCCACCTTGAATACAGAGAGCTGACATCCTGGATATACTTATTACAAATACTTCTATTCCCATCGCCTTAGAAGTTAAATCGGAACTCACATCGGACCATATGCCGTTATTGAATGATTTTTCAACTATTTGAAAATTTCTGATTCATTAATTTAGTAAGAAATTCATATCTTTATTTCATATTTTATGCATTTAATGAATTATTTACAATTTATCATCATGCTATTTCTTTGTCATGTTATTATTGTTCTATGCGTGAAATTCTAAAGGTTTTATAAAAATAATGTGAATTTTTCCCCCCTCTAAGCTTCAGAATTTCATTATAGAGCTTTTCTGGTTTAATTTCTTCTCTAATTTTTAAAAAGAGAACTCGGTATTTTTAATAGTGTTCTAGTCTTCTAAAATTTAGCTGAGAACTTTTTTTCTTTTTGATTGTGTCATTCATCTGGTTCTTTCGATATTCATTCTTCTCGAAATATTTTCTAAGACTTTTAGAAATAGCTTGTGGTGGAACAGAGCATGAAAGCTGCGGAATATCTGAACATAACTGCGCATCAGTTGCACCCTTACATGGCGTTTGTCTTCCCAACTGGAAATGGAATCTTCCAGCAGGAAAACGCCCCATGTCACAAGGCTCAAATTGTGTTGGAGTGGTTCGAGAAGCATCTGGATGAATTCCAGTTAATGTCCTGGCCACGTAAGTCGCCGAATCTTAACCCGATAGAGCATTTGGAGTGTCATGGAGCAGCAGCTCAGAGCTCAAATGTCTGAATATCTTAACTTTGAGTGACTGCTACTTGGACATCTTGTACAACCTGTCTCCAGTCATGTACCGAAAACTTGTGGTATCCTTGTGAAGGCGAGTTGCAGCTGTTTTTCAGGCCAAAGGTAAAGCAACGCATTATTGAGCGAGTGGTCATAATGCTTTCGCTCGTCAATGTACATATATATGTGAATACACTTTTGGTGCGGCCAATTTCGACCAGAAACGAAAATGCCCAGCTACATATTATCGCAGTCCTATATACAAAAATTCAACGTTTTGAGGCTGTTTGTCTTTGAGTTATGCGAGATAAATATATATGTACAAAACGGAACGTAACGGAACGGAAAAAATTCTCGTTTTCGTAACGGAAAAAATTCTTCTCTGAATCCATTTTAATTCCATTTTATAATCCATATTTGGGAAAAGAGTCCTTTACTCTGTTTATGCGTACAGATGTAACGCAAAAACATCGTTTAAAAGGATTAGAGAGCGCTCAAAATGGATATTTTTCTTGAAATATGATACCCGAAATTTTTCATGATTACAATACTTCCTTTACTTCGCATAAGGAAATAAAAATCGTGGAACTGCACCATAGTGATTGCTCTAATGCTTAAATACCAAAGCATCTTCTCTTCGGTAAATAAAATTTTCTGAGTTTATTATGCTTATCAAAATTTTCTAGCATTTCATTATAGATTTTTATGTTTTTATTTTAAAGCATAGCAATTAATTGTGCCTTTCATTAATATATATTAGTAAATATACACTTCAGATTTATACATTCAGAATAACATATGTGTTCTGTGTATATCGAATACAAAAATGTCCAATACATACAAAATTTTGTATCAACAGTATTTTGAAGTTCACGAGTAATTTCTCTTGTTATTAAAGTATCTCGCAGAATTAACTGAAGTGAATGGATATTTTCTCAGGATGAATCAGGTGCAGCTGCAATCAAATCTGTTGAACTAGATGATGTGTTAGGAGGTAGTCCTGTTCAACACCGGGAAGTTCAAGGTCATGAATCTGGGCTATTTCTATCGTATTTTAAGAAAGGAATCAGGTAATTGCAAAATAAAATATGATGATTTGACACAGTGTAAGAAAAATACCGTCTTGTGATCAGCTACCGTATTTTACTGAATTTTCTTCATAAATTATTAGAAGCTTTTAAAATGCAATTTTAAAAATCTTTAAGATGAAGAAAGATGTTTTTGAAGATACTTTTTTAAATTCACAATTAAAAATTTATTTGTTAAAATATAAAGTAATTTTATCTATGTAAATATTAAATATAAGAATGCTGGAAAGATAAACATTAGGTTTCATTGCCAACTTTTTTTTTTTTTTTTTTTGTAAATGAAAACTAACATGTAAAGTAAAATAGTTAGGTATGTTCAAACGTATATTTTATGAAAAATAGCATCCAAGACTCCCATGTGAAATCACGTGCAAGTCTTGGATCATGTGCAAGTTTCTAATATTAAAGTTTCCGTATAAAAATTTGTGATGCCACCTAGGTGTAAGTTCATATCATTTACTGACCTATTTCATTCATCGAGTGTAAATGCATTTCATTTATTGATCTCCTACTATAATTATTGGTGCTATAAATTTATGAAACTCTTTTTTTGCAATGCAGTGAGTGAAATTATCAGGTTCAATGTTCCGTCTTACTTTCTTCGGGAACATGCAAGGACCTGACTCGGAACAGAGAGCTTACTAAAGCTATGTTCAATCACTGTGGGAAGTAGACAGGATACACAAGAAGGGTATACAAAACCCTTTATTTTTCTCTACTTACAATAACTTCCGTACTTCGGAATACACAGACCCACTACTTGTGGTCTAAACGTAAAAAATATAAAAATAAAAAACTAAACTCTAATTTAACTTTAAAATAATAAACGTGGAAGATTGGCCTTATATTAACAGGAAGCCGTATGTAGTACAGAGAACTGTGAACACTGCAATACGTTTAAAAATTATCAAGAGGATTAAAACCTCTGGCCTGGAAGGCAACCAGCAACTGAGTAAAACTTCTAAGGTGAGCGGCCTGCTTCGACTAACTGCTTCCTCTCTCTCGCTTGGCAAAAAGCCACAACTTGGCGTTCGCCAGACAAACTTTGCATAAATACATTAACGCTTATAATTCTGGCCGGAAGTAGAAAATAAGAAGTGATAGTAAAGATTTAAAATAAAATAAACGTTAGTAAAACCTAAGATCCTTACAAAATAATTATATTTTCTGCGCCACTGTGTTTCTAAATCTCTGAACGCAAGGTAAGTTGGCTTATTTTACCCATTTCCTCAAATGGAAAAAGCTTATGTTTTAAGCATTATCCCCCTCCAATACTACGATACCTTACAAATACTTTGGGTTGATGCGAACTCGACTACCCGAGCGTGTTCTTGTCATAGCATCTGTCGTGGTGTCGGTCGGAAGTCGTGGTGTCAGTCGAAGGCTTGGAACAGCTTGCACTGAAGTCCGTTGGAGATAGATGTGGATCTTGGGATGGTATTTGCGATGGTGAAGACGCATTTGCTCCAGTGGCTTCTCTCGTCCAGATAAATGCTGGCTTAAGACGGTCGATACTAACGACGACTTCTGTTTCGTTGACCAAAGTTTAAATGTGTTTTCGTTTCGAGCTAGCGCTTGATGTGCCCCTGAAAATTGTGGTGCGTGAGAAGGCATTAAAGCATCACATCTGAGAAAAACATGAGATGAGTTTCTAAGTTCTTTATGCCTGGACACAGTTTGTTTGCAATGAGCCCTGGTAGGAACTGGTCGCAATTTTGATATGAAGTTTCTAAGCTGATGCACGAATGTAAGAGGACGTTGAAGGTAGATGGATTAACTGAATGTACGAAGTCCCCAGGTAAACGGAGATGAGTACCATAAATTAGTTCGGCAGAAGAGGCATCAGATCCTCTTTTAACGCTGATAGATGACCTAGAAGTACAGTAGGTAACACATCAGTCCACTAAAATGCAGTGTGGCATCGAACTGATTATTTTAAGGAGCGATGAAATCTCCCAATAATTCCATTAGAACTTGGATGTTAGGGGCTGGTTCTCACTTTGTAAATGCCCAAATACTTAGTTAGTGACGTTAAGAGTTGGGACTCGAACTGACGCCCCTGGTCAGTAGAAATCTGCTTCGGAACTCCAAATTGAGAAATCCAAACGGTGTTAAAATGCCTTTGCCACCGTATCAGCTGAAATATCTACCAAAGGAACGGCTTCGGGCCAGCGAGTAAATCGATCAATGCAAGTAAGAATATTGGAATATCCATTAGAAGGCGGGAATGGTTCGACCAAGTCGAGGTGCACGTGATTGATGCGAGATGATGGCAAATTAAAATTTTTAAGTTGGCTGGTGGTGTGTCTGACAGTTTTAGATCTTTGGCACTCCAAGCTCGTAAGTGTCCAGTTGGTTATGTCCTTTCGCATGCTACGCCATACGAAACGTTGCTATATCAGTTTTTCTCAAAGCCTTGATGCCAGGATGTGACAGACGATGTAACTGACTAAAAATGAATCGCGAAACCCGGAGGGAACATAAGGTTGAAATCTTGAATCCTGAACATTAATTTAAAGTGATTTTCCAGGTGACAGCTGTATAGGCTGCAAGTTGAGATTGCTGGAAGATTTGCTTTTCAAGAGGGTTTGTAGTTCTGAATCCCGGTATTCATCCGCAAGGTCAGATTTATTGGCAAAGGAACGGCTAGTTCTTCAATATGAGACAAGGTGTCTGCAACAATATTCTGCGAACCCTTAATATAACGAATATCTTGAAAATTGCCTTATGAAGTCTAGGTGTCTCATTTGACGAGGAAAAGCTTTATCCGAACGCTGTTGAAAAGCATAGGTTAAGGGTTTGTGATCTGTGAAAATCATGAAAACTTGTTCTCTAGCATATGTCGAAAATATTTGACAGCTTCATAAATTTCTAATAATTCGCGATCGTAAGTGCTGTATCTGGTTTGTGCTGATGAGAGATTTTTAGAAAAATATGAAAGTGGTCTCCATAACTTGATCTTTGTTCCCGAAGTTAAGTCATTTTTGCATTTTTGGAAGGCTTCGCGAGATTCTGTGATCCAGGTTATAACATGTTTATCGTTTTTCTTGCTTCCAACCAAAAACGAATTTAGAGGTGCTAGTATGGTCGCTGCAGGAGGTAAGAAACGTCGATAAAGACTGAGCGTAGCAAAAAATCTTAAGTCCTTCACTGTAGATGGTTCGGGCATATCGCGGATAGCGGTGACTTTGTCTGGAAGGGGTCAAACGCCATCAGCGGAAATTTCATGACCAAGAAACGATACTTTTGGTTGGCCAAAAAAGCATTTGGAAGGATTAAGACTGACACCGTAACTTTGAAAACATTCAAAAACTGTTCTCAAATGTGATAGGTGTTCTTGCTCTGAAGAGGAGGCGATTAAGACGTCTTCCAAATAAGGTATGCAAAAGTCGAGGCTGATTAACACCTGATTCATGAAGCGTTGGAACGTTTGAGCAGCATTGCATAAGCCGAAAGTCATGACCGGAAGCTAAAATAGTCTAAAAGGCGTAATAACCGCAGTTTTTGGAATATCAGATGGGTTAACGGCCACTTGGTGATAGGCCCGCTCAAGATCAAAGGTTCTAAAAATAGCTTTTCTCTCTAAAACTTGCATACAGTTTTGAATGTGCGGTATTGGGTAACGATCAGGAATTGTAGCTGCATTTAACCGGGGATAGTCGCCACACGGGCGCCAGTTACCATTTCGTTTCTGAACTAGATGGAGCAGACTGGCCCATGAACGTTTTGAAGGACGGCAAATTCTCTGTTCCATCATGTATTGAAATTCTTCTTTGGCGGCTTTAAGCTTGTCCGCAGGTAAGGGTCTTGATTTAGCGGCAATTGGAAGTCCGGTAGTTTCAGTATAATGTAAAGCAGTTGGAGGTAATTGGAGGTCCGGTAGTACATCGTGCTTGAGTTTGGAAATACCCATAACTGGGCGCGTGATTGTAGGAAATTCTTTGAGAAGTTGTTGGCATGGGGAGTTACCCAAAATCAGTTTAATTCTCAATTCTTGACTATTGCAAATTACTCCCGGATAAGTTAAGTTGGTTGTGGAATCTATCAAACGGCGATTCTTAAGATCGACAAGCAAAGAAATTTTTTGTAAAACGTCAGTGCCAATAATAGGACTTAAAACAGTAGCAATAATGAATGGCCATTGGAAGTTGCGGTGCAATCCTAAATCAACAGATATCAGGCGTTCATCAAAGGTTTGAATAGGAGTTCCATTTGCTGCATAAAGTTGTAACTTGGTAAGGCGCTTTTGTTCGTGAAAAGGTAGTGGAACGACAGAAACATCAGCCCCGGTGCCTACAAGAAACCTTAAGCCCGAATTCTTATCGATGACGAAAAGGCGTGCAAAATTCCGGCCGCTGTCGTTCACGACTTGGAGCGATGTCTCTTCTCGTTTCTCTGGTCGTTATGACGACATGGTGGGCGGCATTTGTTTGCCTTGTTTCCAAATTTGTGGTGGTAAAACAAATTATTCAACAGCACTTAGCGTCTAGTTTTAATCTTAAGAAATTGGGTGTTCCAATTGAACAAATAAGCCCTACGCATTCCAACGATCTTCTCATACGCTGTGCAAAGAGCATCTTATAAAACTAAAGGACTCTATAGCATCTGAGCAAGTCTTTCAATATCAGAATACCAAAGCCATTTGGCGAAACAATCATCGTCTTCGAAGTACCCTCAAATTACACCGCTGACGATTTAGTCTCAGCATTTCTAACACACTCTCCACCTGATAAGGAAGGTGCCATCCATCCACGTACTTCTCAGCATCGATCAGGTAACTGTGACAATTGGATAGTAAACGTAAATCGGGACTACTACCATAAAATCGGATCACAAGGTCGTTTTTTTATAGGATTTAACTCCTGCCCGTACCGAAGATACGTCAGGCCTCCTCGTTGTTATAACTGTCAAGAGCTAGCACACCAAGGTCGCAACTCCAAGGAGCCTCCGGCTTGTGTCCATTGCTCTCATTCACACAATACTCCAGTCAGTAACTGTCAAGAAACCCCACTGTGTATCAATTGTACTAAATCTAACAACATTAGAGGCACAAGCTTGAATTGTCATTGTTCTGCGAACTTGAAAATATGTTCCAGCTACAAGAAGGAACTTCAAGCACTTCTGACAAGGACAAATCAGTTCTAGCTATACAGCCTAGATTTACCATAAACAATTTTACATTTATACAATGTAATTTACAGCGTTCGTCTGTGGCAACAAGCCACATTATTCATAGACAACTAGAAATAGGTTCTGATTTCGGTCTCTATCAAGAGCCTTATGTCACAAGAGAACACTTATTATATGGCTACAATAGTGTATACTGAACCCTTATCCCCCGTGGTTTGGAAAGCTACAGAACACACCATTTCAATCGCACTAGACACTGAAGAAGGTAGTTTCTTAATCGCCTCAATATACTTTCCACCGAGTAAAGACATAGACACACTGCTTTTAGAAATTAACTATATTAAGCATTGTTGCTTCAAATATATTCTACTTGGAGGAGACTTCAACGCCTCAAGTTACCTTTGACGTTCTGACCATGAAGATTCTTGATCGGCATTTCTATTGCATTTCATTGAACCAAATCATCTTTTGATTGTTAATTCAACTACTCCGCCAATGTTTAACACTGTGAAGGCAAAGGGTTGGCCGGATGTTACACTTGCCAATTCTGTAGTTGCAACTTTAATTCAAGATTGGACGACTTCAGATTATATTAGTTTAAGTGATCATGCAGCAATAACATTTAGTTTTGAGCACTACAATCAGTACTTTTATAAGGTATTTATCCCACTTTCCTAGCGTGCCTTCGTGGTGTAGTGGTTCTGCACGCTGGGTCGGTGTTCCAGAGGCCCGTGGTTCGATTCCCTGCGAAGGCGATGGTAATTTTTCATCTCTCCGGCTTTTCCAATTAACCTAATGTCTCTACACTTTGACAAAAACGCGCTTTAAAACATCATTTGGTGGTCTAAGAAAACTCAGAACTTACCTTAGTTCCTATATAGAGTATCTCACTCAGAGTTTTCAAAACTGCCGTATTGTAGCAGATCTCGATTAAGCTTATGATCAGTTCATAAATATATGTCAATTAGCATGTGTTTTACGCAAACTACGACGACAAGCTCAGGCTGCTCATTCCCCTGAACGTCAAGCTTTATTCGTTCAATATAAAAACATCTTATGCAAATTATGAGAGACAAATAAAAGAAGCAAAGAAAAATTCTTGGCGCAACTTTTGCGAAAATACAAGATTCTTTTGAATCATTTTTTAAGGTAGCTACGAACAAGATCTATCGGCCAACTACTCTTCTCTCTCAAATACAACCAAAGGCTAAAAAACCAACAGATACAGTCACATATTTACTATCTGAAATTTTCAAGGATGATAATCCAGAAGATGATTCAGCGATTCAATCTATTATTAGATAAAACTTCAATGTATATATATCTTCATCTCTTTCATCACAGCCTGAACCAAATTACTTTGAATTAGGTAATATCATCAAGCATTTAACCCCTCAAAAGTCTCTGGGCCTGATGGTATCGATAATTCTATTTTATAAATGATCTAAAGAATTTCTCCTGTCCTCCTTTTAGCGTTCATCAACTGTGGCTGGAAATTACGCCACTTTCCTACTTCTTCCAAACGGGTAGAAGTTTTTCTCTTTCATCAAACAAGTAAAAACCTCTTAAAAGCTTCATCATACAGACCTATCTGTTTAATTCCAGCATTGGGTAAGTTACTGGAACGTATAATTTTAGAACACTTGCAATTTTATTTGTCTTCTCATAATATCAGTCACAATTTGGATTTCGTAGAGGAAAATCGACAGAACATGCCATCTCTCGCCTATAAACAATCTTGCAGAATAACACAAACAATCTTGCATAACAACACAAACAATCTTGCATAACAACACAAACAATCTTGCATAACAACACTAACAATCTTGCAGAATAACACAAACAATCAACAGCACTCTTTAGTCATAAGCATGGACATTTTGAAATTCAAAAACCCTTGCTCAGATCTCCATTAGAACTAAGACCGACCTTTTGTTGAGTACCAGCACATACAGGAATAGTAGAGAATGAGCAAGCAGACAAATTAGCCAAAAATGAGGCTATGGGCATACATCTACCAGAATATTCATTACGATTTCCAGGATCTTTCCTTAAGAAAGTGACATTCGTTAGTATGTTACAAGAATGGCAGTTTCGCTGGAATAACGGTACAATGGGTCGCAGAACATACAAGTTCATCCCCAAAGTATCTACTGATTTATCTACGTTCTCTAATACAATCACGAATTATACAACTGGTCATGGACCTTTTATGACTTACTTGAATAGATTTGGCCTATCAGAGAACGACTTATGCAGTTGCGGTCATCAGGGATCACCTAATCACTATGCGTTTAATTGCGTACGTACCAAAACTTTTCATCTACGACAACCTTCAGAACAATACTGGGCAAATTGGCTTAGCGAATTATTGAAATCAAAAGAAGCATTAAATAAACTTAGTAACTGTATAAAAATTTGTTACAACTTAAATACATTTTCCCCCCTGAATGAAATTTCAGTTAGTAAGTTTCGTTGATTTTTTTCTTTCCTGTTGTTTATAATATAATATTATTTTTCATCAGTATGCTTTTTATAAATTATCTTGTATATATCTAACTTGCACTGACGATTTTTGTACCTCATTAACATGTTGAGCGCCACGCGTCTTTCTTAGGCAATCCCGTTCAGCCCACGCGCGCCGCTTAAAAGCGCTGGTATTGTAGGGTCAGGAGTAATGGCCAGAAAAAAGACTAAGAGAGTTGTCACATTTTGTATTAGCAGTAATGGAGAACCGTTTTTATATTTAGCGTGTTTCAATGAAATCCATTAGTCCTGTAATGAATCAAAATTAAGTAAATTTTAAATAAATTTTCTGTAATTCCATAAAGGTATAAATTTTATAGTTATATATCATGATACACGCTGTCAGACAGCGGCAGTCGGCGCGGCCTAAACGGAAAGTCTAGTGTCGGCCACAGATGGCTGACATCATTCTTAAATAACTGTTTATGTGTTATAAAATGCTTTGCATTACTACAGTTATTTTGTCAAACAACGTAAATTTAATGTGTCACTTCTAGTACTGCATTTAGGCAACATTTAAAAAAAAAAAAAATGTTTCACATTTAGTCGTATTTGACTGATAGCATTATTCGTACTTTATCATAGCTCTATCTCATAATATTAAGGCATTATACAATGGAATACCATTAAATTATGTATTCATGTATCTCATTACTAAATGCACTATATTATTGTACTCTTATACACTGACGTTTTGCTTTTTGTCATATGTAGCAACTTATGCAAGATGTCCTGTAATCATTTTTGTAAAGTACTTTTCTGTGACATCCCTGATTAGGAGCAATTAATGGCACTTGGTCTTTCAGCCATTGCCTTGTTTAGGTGGCTGCTTGTTTTTTTTTTTTTTTTTTTTTTTTTTTCCCACTGATCAGGCATCATACCGTTCAGTTTTACCTTAGATCGGAAGCCTGGTCAGTGGCGTATAACCATAACCCGGAGGTGGGCTTTCATAACGTTTCCTCAGTGGGCTACGACGTGTATTTCGACCACGTGATGTGAAGCGGTTGCGCTGAAAAGGTTCAGCTTGGACGGCTACTAACTGAGCGACCTGTTTGGACAAATCATCAATTTGAGCCTGTAACGCCTAAATACCTGGACCAGGAGCCTGCACTGCGTGTATTTGCGCTGGAATGACCAGCACGTGAATTTTATCTGTGATTTCGGGTAGCTTTTTATGTGGCTCATTACTGGTCGCTAAAATGGCTTGCATGTTAGATGGGAGTCTATTCATCCATAATGTTTTAAGAATGTTATCCGTTAGGTTACCGGCGGCTAAGTCTGACATTTTAGACAGCAATTGAGAAGGCCTCATATCACCCAACTGTAAATCTTGAAACAGCTGCTTGATTTTTAACTGTGCCAAAATTATTTCTCGAGCTAATTGCAGTACCTCTGATTCTAACGCGGTGATCGCTGTATAAAATTGAGTTTCGTCGGCAGTAACGTGACTCAATTTAAACTGCGCATCCAGTTGAATGAACCATAATGATAGGTCTCGGCAACAAAAAGGCGGTGGCTTAACTGCCACTCGCGCGAATTGTGAAGCAGCATTGTTGTCAACCATTTTAGATCAATCAAATATGCACAAGGCAGAAAATAATCAATATGTATATAGTGACACAGTTTCTTGGTACTTTAAATCAGAGAAATTGGCTTCTCAAAGTCAACAGACGATACATGTATCCGCTAAAATTATGACAGAAATATGTTGACTCACCAGAATGCGGCACAATGCTAGAAATCACAGGTGAATTGTCTTACTTGCATCTCATCACACTAGATAACTTATTGTTGCTCAGAATTTCGACATACAAACTCCATATTCGTGCAGCATTGCAGGTTTCTATTCGTAATAAATCCGTGTCATCAATTATGTTAGTACAATTTTTGAGACAGTTACCAGATTGGCAGCGTTGAGTTGTGTCGCATTAAGTTAATGTTACCTTCTTTGATTTTTAAGTAAATTTCAGTCAGTTTTTACTATTAAATATTTTGTAGATACTTACAAGGAGGTGTAAAATCAGGTTTCCATCATGTAGAGGATGTTACTGTGAAGAGGTTATTGCGAGTGAAAGGACGGAGAAATGTACGCCTTCACGAGCTTCCGTTAAGTGTTAGTTCTATGAATAAAGGTGACTGTTTCATATTAGACAGTGGACCAAATGTCTATTTGTATGTTGGAAGTCAAAGTGGACGTATGGAACGTATTAAAGCTATACAAGCTGCAAATGCTATTCGAGATGATGTGCACCATGGGAGAAGTGTTGTTAAAATCCTTGGTAAGCAATTAAATACTGAATTTTGATTGATTGCAAAGCATTTTAACTTAGATATAAGAAATGTAGTTTTGTAAATCATTTTACTATTAATACTTAAATATATATAAAGAGAATGTATTTCAATTATACATTCTGAATATATCACTGATTTGATATCTTTTAAATATTACCAATTGGAACAGCAAATGTCACTGTAATATGCATTAACTATGAGTCTAACAAGCTTCTGGCTGTTATGAAAGGAAAGGCACCTGTTCAGTTTTTCCTCTCCGTTAACTTTGGCCTGTTATTCTATTCACTTACATAAAGTAATTTCTTGCTGATCACAGGAAATGGACAAAGACATTTTGTGTAGAATGCAAGAAGCAAATCACTGAGCATATGTATAGAATATATGGTATTGTTCTGTTATTGGAATCGGATTCCGAAATGTATTAATGTATGCACATGTATGTGCGTGCATATATTTGTATATGTATACACACATACATCCGTATATACATACATACATACATGCATGCATACATACATACATTTCTGAATCCGGTCCTGATAACAGAATAGTACCGAATACATTATTTGATATACATGAATACATGTAAAATTTAAAGAGACATCTGGTTAATGTAAATCAAATACTTGAAAGATTAGCAAAGGTATCGTACTTGTTAGTTTTTCTAGATATCAATCTATGAGGTACACTGCGCAAAAAAAGGGGGGACAGTTCTTCTCCCGTTCTACTGCGCCGATTGACGAAATCCAAATTGCTTTTTTCATATCTCGAAAGTGCAACTTAGGATATGTATTAGATTTATATATAGCATTATTCTAACATAGATATTTGACACAAAATCGGACTTTTTCTGAAATAACATACTAATTTTTTTCCATATTTCAATTTTACGAGTCTCTAATTACGCCTAGATATTAAATTTTGTAAAATTTGGTGCGAAATTTACGGAGAAATACAAAACTTTATCTTGGCGCAAATTTTTCAGTTTGAGCCAAACTTCTTAATGTACAGCAACCAATTTTTCTTTCTCTTCCATTATGCCGGAGCGCTAAAAAAGGCACCTCGTTCCTATCGTTTTATATTGTGCAAGAGCTGGGAAAAGTTACATCGTACCTACTTTCAAGTAATTTTAGAAAAGCGTCTAAACCACATTTGATTTTTATCACTTTAAAAAAATATGAGAAATTTTAAAACGCGCCAATATATAAATTCACGTACATCTTCGGAAATTTTGAATAAAAAAGTGTAATTTTTTTCAGGTATGCTTAGAAATACGTCTACTTTAATATGATAATGGTAAAACTTTTATAGATTATAATTCAAAAATGTTTTTGAAAAATTTATAAAAGTTTTTTTAATTACAAATTTTGAAAATAATCATAAAAAATGGTGAATTTTTTTTTTTTGGAATGAACGTGAATTTCGAAATGTGAAAGGAAGAATCAAATAAGTTTAATAGAAAAAGACAGATTAATAAATATATGCCAAACCTCAATTAACATTGACGAGCTAATTTTTTAAAAACTACTCGTGCGATTTTTACAAAACTTCGTAGTTTGGCGTAATTTGAGTCGTAGAATGGAAGTATGGAAAAAATTGGTATGTTATTTCAGAAAAATCCGATTTTGTATAAAAATACCTGTATTAGAGCAATGCTGTATATAAATCTAAATACATATCCTAAGTCGCGCTTTCGAGACATAAGAAACGCAAGTTGAATTTCGTCAATCGACCTAGTAGAACGAGAGATATAGAACTGTCCCCCCCTTTTTTTCGCAGTGTACATCAGATATAAATTTACAAGATATCTGACTGTGGTTTCTTTCAATAGCAGTGTATTAAAAAATTTTTTTGGTTTTAACCCATTCAAATTTCTTGGCTAATTTCTATATTTTATATTTTTTGCAAGCATAAAACATATTTTTTTTGTTCCATTGGAAACATTAATGACTATGAAATTTTTTTGTTTGCAGAAATAATTTAAACCATATGAGCAGCATATGTCCCACATTATAGCACACATGGCAAATCCTTCATACTGTTGATTTTAATTGCATTAAAATCAAAATTCTGTCGAATTTGTCGTGTTTCTTATAGTGTGAGACATATACTACACATTATAAACATTTCATCCCATTTTAGAACACTTTAAGACACTTCCAAAATTTGATGCTAAATAATTTTAGTTCATTTTTATATAAAAACAATCAAAAAAACAAATAGAAAAAATTAAAATAATTATAAACTTTTTTTACACCCTGAAAATCAAAAAACACCACTAAAAATACAGAAAGACTAAAATAGTTATAAAAAGAGAACAATTTTTATACCCAAAAAATATAGAATGATCAGCCTTTGTTCAAATGTATTAATATATGTAGCATTTAAGATATGAGAAATCGACAGATGCTATAAATTTGAATGTAGAAAAAGAAGATATACAAAAATATTGTGATTTTACAGACGCCATTTCAAATGGCATCAGCGAAATAGACTATCTTTATGGATGAATCTGAAATATGTTCATTAATTTTATCATTACAAAATTAATAAAAAATAAATATATATTTTGTAAAGAACCACATAAAGTTTTTCCAAAATCGTATGAATATTCTCATCATACCTTTATAGTTTAATATGTAACTTCCTTCATTAAATTTTTTGATTGCATTATCAGAAAGTCTTCCGTGACGTTTTTAAAGAAAATACTCTTTTTCTCCATAATCTACTTTTATTTTTGCAATGCATGTATCTCCATATTTAGTTTGAATTTTTCTCAATAGGATTAGATTATATTGTTCCGTGCGTACTGTTTCGTAATAAATTGAATGTACAAGTCCGATGAAAAGTGAATAAAATTAACCACAGGTTCGTTAAAGAGCATAAGCTTAGTCTTGAATGGTACATTAAATTTTTTTCCTTCTTGTGAGCAAAAGTTGGGACTTCTGGGCATTTATACAAACATTCCAGCTTTTACACCAGTCCTCTATGGAAGAAATATTTTCTTGAAGCTTCTTGATTGCATGACTGATGTTTGCAGACTTTACTGTCAAAGCAGTATCGTCTGCATAACACGCCAGCATTGAAGTATTGTAGTAATCGATCTTTGGGATGTCAGAAACATTAAACATATAAAGCACGGCCGCCATAACTGAGCCCTGCAGGCCGCCAGCACATAAGCTTAAACTCAAAAATATAAGAAATAAGAACTTAACTAATGACTAACTAAAGAGCTAACATAATTCTAACTAGTTGCCCCCCAAATATCGAATTAGCTAGCGAAGCTATCAAGGGCACGTAATACGGCGGAGCGTAGTAACAGCTTAGAGAGACGTGGCCAAAAAGGCAAACGCGCGCTATTCAGAAACTCTGATTCTCTCTCTCAAAGTCCAGTTCCAGTTGCCGCTGTCGCCGCACCCAGCTTGCTAAATATGCACGCTGTATACCTGCTATCGTAACATAGGTGCTTCAAGGAGCAGTGCAAGTACAAAAATGCTTGAGTAGGTGCAGAGAACAGGATGAAAGTTATTGACGCCTTTGTCGCGTAAAGGGATGAGAAAACACAATTTACAGAATTAAATAGTACATAAAATATAAAATACATATTTTCCCCAGGAAATAGGCCACTATTTACATAATATTTACAAGTATATGCCATGCTAAAATAGCAGAAAATTCGACAAAAATTAGGAAAAAGATTTAGAATGCTTACACAATATGGAGTTGTATTAACAATTTTAGATCCTATGTAGGAAAATTTTGGTTCTCGTTTAATATAACAGCTGTGTAAGGACGCAAGGGCCGATCATCGTGCAGAATTTCATAGCCAAACAGATTGAAATGATTCATAGCATTCTTGTGCATTCTGCTAGAATTGCTTATATTAATCTTGTGTAAGAACTTCGTAAGGGGTTTTACTTTGGGGTCATAATGAAGACACATATTCCTTACAAAAAAGTGGGTATCTGTAATGATAATTTAACTTGTAATTTATAAATTTCCTGGTCAGTAATTGTCGTTCAGATTCGGTATATCATAGGTCTCTATTGGCCTAATAACAGAAAGATAAATGAGTCTCTTCTTACCCAAATCTAGTGAAGAATATTTCCCAGCGATAGGATAAATACATTTAATGATTTTAGAGCCCTGTATTGTACGTGATTAACGTGGTGAGTCCATGTGAGCGGTCGCGGACACTTAGCCGACAACCACTTAGCCGACTGGACACTTAACCCACACCAGTTAGCCGACAAGACGTTTAGCCGACAGGGACACTTAGCCGACATGGTCACGTAGCCCACAGGATATTTAGCCGACAGAACATTTAGCCGACAGGACATTTAACCATTTAACCGAGAGGGACATTTAGCCGACACGGACACTTAACCAACAGGTCATTTAGCCGATACGGACACTTAGCCAACAGGACATTTAGCCAACACGGACAGTTAGCCAACACGGAAAGTTAGCCGACAGGACATTAACTGTCAAGATATCTAGTCAACAGGACACTAAGCCTACAGTGACGTTTAGCTGACACGTACCCAATAATTATTTAACTTACTATCAATTACAAAATTTCTCGACTTCTCCATAAGTTCAATATCTAAGGGATTTTTTTCACTATCGGTAAAATTCATTTTTCGATTCTTAAAGATCTCATATGTGCTTTTAATTATAGTGTTAATTTAGCATTGTTTGATATGTATCGTGCTGTTTGTATATTGGCCAAATTATAAAAGCGCTGAAATTTCTCGTCAGGCAATATGAATTATATTTGAAAGGAAAAAAGAATTTTTTTACCTCAGTACATCGGTCACTTAATTAATTTTAATATGGGATCTTCAAAAATTATCCGTAAAGCTTCTTCATTTAATCAACTGGGTTCTTTGAACGCTTTCACATAATTAATAATTTTTCTTGTTTACTTAATGATATTAATTTTCCAATCTCGCTCTTCCAAATGCTTTCAAATTTCTAATATCTT